CTTGACCGAGGGGACGAGGAAGCTCGCGTGCGTGTGCCCGGGGTACTTGACGTCCTTGAAGTCCATCAGGATGTTCTGATTGTTCTCGTGCCCCGCGTCCGCCTTGAACAGATGCAGCTGCAGCCCTCCCGCGTTCTTCATCATCCTCCTCTCCTCCGTCGACCGCCCGTCCTCCACCTCCTTGAAGCCAAGCTTCCCGTAGAAGTCAAGAGCCGCCGGCATCTGCGACACGGCCACCCCGAGATGATGGTAGCCGATGAGCTTGAAGGGCGGGCGCACAGTCGTCAGGAGCTTGGGAGCTGACATCATCTTGCACCTGCTCAGACAGCCGTGAGTTGTTCGCTGAGAGAGAGCGAAGAGATGCGAGGCAGAAGCAGGATGAACGTGCAAAGGATGAGGGAGAGGGAGAGGGAGGGAGGGAGGGAGGGATGAAAGGGCAAGGAACAGGGTAAGGAACAGGGGTTGCCAGAGCAGAGCAACAGAAGCACAAGCAGCACGAGGAGATCGAGTGGGTGTGCGTGTGGGCATGACGGTGGAGGAGCTTGAAGAGGAGGGAGCGAGAGGGGCAGTTGAAGTAGCAGAGGAGCAACATCTATATAATGGACGGCAATCTGCCAGGTACAAAATCCTTTAAAACTTTTATATGTAGTACTGCCGCAGCCGGCGGTACTGATTCCCTACGGTACTGGAACCGGCTGGATGCAACGATCGTTGAACTTGGGGGAATATCCGATGTGTACCTGCTGCTGTTGTTGCATCTACCACATTCAACTGCTGTTGTTGCATCTACCACATTCAACTGCTGTTGTTGCATCTACCACATTCAACTGCTGTTGTTGCATCTACCACATTCAACTGCTGTTGTTACATCTACCACATTCAACTGCTGTTGTTGCATCTACCACATTCAACTGCTGTTGTTGCATCTACCACATTCAACTGCTGTTGTTGCATCTACCACATTCAACTGCTGTTGTTGCATCTACCACATTCAACTGCTGTTGTTGCATCTACCACATTCAACTGCTGTTGTTGCATCTACCACATTCAACTGCTGTTGCGTACAGAACGTTCACGGATGTTGTTTGGCTGCATTGATAACGATCAACAATCGCTGCCATCGAGTTGGCTTGTCATGCGTACCGCAGCAATTTGACCCACTTTCAAACGGTCAGTGACCAAGTCGAAGGTCAATCTTGCGGGAAAAGAAGACGTGGACAAAGAAGTTGAAGAATCTCGGAGAGGCTGTCAGCAGCTCCATGAGAACCATCAGCCGGCTGGGGTAGACACTCAAGTCCCTCGTCTGTCTTCCATGATTCGGTCCATTGGACAAATACTTGAGCAGCATGACAAAGATCGTGACGTCATCACTGATGTACTTCATTGTTGGTAACTTCTGCTTCTCACCCGCTCACTGTCAGGTTCATCCACTTGTGGAAACTCGCTTCCATCCTCCCCGCGTTCTCTCGCAGCCAAAAGTCCACGTACTCCTTCAGCGACGAGTCTCCACGTGGCAGCCTGCATGCCTCGTCAGTTCCTCTCCCTCCCTCCCTCCCTCACGCGTACATGATCGCCTTGCCCTCTCGGGTGAAGGTCTTGTTCCCAGCACAGAGCTCTGGATGTTTCATCGCCATCATATCTGCCTCGATCGCGTCTGTCACAACCACATCGGCCTGTACCCCCCCGTCACCACCTTACACGCCTCTCTACACGCCTCTCTACACGCCTCTCTACACGCCTCCTCTCGCTTCACCTTGCATGAAAGCAGCGCCTGCGGCTGTTCCCCTTGCCCTACCACCACGATGCTCGACCCTGCCACATTCTTGCGCACAAACGCCTCGTTTGTCCCTCCTGCGTTCACGGCAACTCGCACGCCCGGCTGGTTCAACGACGAGATCGTCTCGAACGGTCCTCGTCCTCCGCACCTCCCACTGCACTCCCACAGAGTCGTCTTGCCCGTCACCGCGTACGACTCGCTGCCGATGGCGTGAGGAAAAGAGCAGGAGCAGGAGCAGGAGCAGGAGCAGGAGCAGGAGCAGGAGCAGGAGCAGGAGCAGGAGCAGGAGGGCGAGCTATGAGGGGAAAAGCACCTGAAGAAGACATCTCTTCGCCGGAGGAGCGTGTCTGTGATGCCTCCCACCGCGATGTCGAAGACGGAGCGATTGACCATGTCGAGAATCAACTGACCCCATGACGTCTTCACGAACTCAATCTGCTCGCAGCATCTTCGGTCTCTAGTTGCGAGAAGAGAGGAGGAAGGAGGAGGAAGATGGGCGTCCGAGAGAGAAGAGATCGAGGCAGAGGAGATGCAGAGGAGACGCAGAGAAGGCCTCGTTAGCGCGTACCTGCACACCAAGGTCCATAGCGAGCAATCGTGCCATCTCTACATCACTTCCCCCCCATTCCGACCCAAGACACGAGGAGCGGTCGTAGGGAGGACAGCGCTGAGAGAAGGGAGGATAGTCGCCGGTGGTGCCCTGCTGGTACCTCACCCATCGGGTAGGAAGCAGCAGCTTCAGCCCTTACCACGAGCATCGTTCCTCTTCGTCGCACAGCATCCAACGCTGACGTCCCGGCGTCTCCTCGCCCCCTCCCCTGGTCCTCTGGGCCCGTAGCCCCGCCCGTCGACCTCAGCGCTGCGGCTCCTCTGAGGTACTTGAAGACCACGTTCTCCTGGGAGTCAAACACGTCAGACAAGGGAGGAGGGGAGAGAGAACAGCACAGCACAGCACAGCACAGCACAGCACAGCATAGGAGGAACCTGTTTCATTCTCGAGCGAGCATGAACGAGGACTCTGATACACCTCGCAGGAGCTCCGTCGACCTGTCTCAGGGGTTAGCGACAATGCAGGACGGCAGAGCACTGAGCACACGTTAGCCTCGAGGCCTCCCCAGAGGACGGTGCTGGTCATGTTCAGCCGCCGACGAGCGGCAGAGGCAGCGAAAGAGGCGGTGAGGTCAGGGGTGACGGAGAAGAACAGCTCCTCTACATCCTCGTTCTTCAACTTGTTCGCCTTCATCAGCTCCTGCAGCAGCTCGACGGTTGCGTCCGCTATGTCCGCTGCAGAGTTGGAGGAGGCTGTTGTCGCCCCCGTACCTTGAGCGTGCCCTGCTGGGCTGCGTGCTGGGGTGAGCGGAGGATGAGGAGGAAGAAGAGGATGAAGAGGAAGACCATGAGCGAGAGGCCGCTCAGCGCTCGCAACCGAGACAGAGCAGCAAGTCCGAACGAGGAGGGTGAAGGATTCTTCGTCAAGGTGCTGTCCGCTCCTCCTCTCCTCCTCTCCTCCCCGTCCCTCTCCTCCTCTCCTCCCTCCTCCTCGTCCAGCCGCCGGTGCCCTCCATAGCCGACCATGTACCGTTTGTGCAATAAACTCCCATAGGAATATTGCGTAAAGAATTGCAGTTCAGAGGAGGCGATGCAATAAATCATCTATAAACTTCCCCTTTTTTATTGTTTCAAAAAGGTTCCAGCAATATTTTATGAGTGGTTTGGTGGGGAACACATCGTTGCGGGGCGTATGGTGCCGAGCTCGGAAGGTGAGGTGGAAGGGGAAGCGCGAGCGGGAGCAGGAAGAGGATCTGACGTACGAGGAAGTGATGTAGAAGCTACAGGAGCAGCAGCAGCAGGAGCAGCAGGAGCAGGAGCAGGAGCAGGAGCAGCAGGAGATTCAGGAGCAAGAAGCATGGTGATGGCAGGGAGGGAGGACTGAGGCTAGGGTATGGTAAACGTTATGAAGATATTGCCAATCAATCCATGCTGACTTGTCTGAGCAGGAGGCCTGATGGGCTCTGGAGGCTGGAGGGATCATCCTTACCGGCGTGAGATTCTTGAAGCAGCGGGTGTCGTGAGATGAGAAGAGAATGGAAGGCAAGGAATGGCGGCTGATGTCCTGGTCCTCGAAGAAAAGTAAGCTTCACCTGTCTGATCCTCCTCCTCCTCCTCCTCGCTTTGTTGTCCCTTCTCCTGCATAGAGAACGGCTGCGACATGGCAGGGGGACAAGACGGCCCCGGCATGTTGGACGAGGCTGGTGAGAGTGGAGAGCAGAGGAGCATGGATACCAACGAGCTGTTCGAGATGGCCCTGCAGCGCCTGCGCTCGCTCTACGAGCTGCACGAGGGGCTGGTGGTGCTGGACCTGCATGAGCGATCGGAGCGACTGATGGCGGAGCGACAGGCTCTGCTGTCCCTCCTCGATCAGTTCCCTGCTACTGGCAGGTCCAAGAAGGAGAGGGCGACGCTATCCTACATCCGGGGGAAGGCCTTCGACGCTGGGGAGGAGTACTCAGCTGAAGCCGAGCAGGACCTGTCGAGGGCCGTCAAGCTGGACCCGTCGCTGGGAGACGCCTGGAACCAGCTGGGAACGTGCTTGTGGAAGAAGGGGGAGGTACAGCTCGCGCACGACTGCTGGCAGAACACGCTGCTGCACTGCTCCAACGTGGAGGACGTGAAGGGGGCGATGCGGAAGCTCTCGATGGCGCACCGGGTGAAGGGCAAGAACCCAGAGGAGAGCCTGAGGCTGGCCAAGGAGCTTGTCAGCCGCGACATGTCTGACTCGCACTCGTGGACGAACCTGGGGAATGCGTACATGTCTTACTTCTTCTCGCTGTCCCTCGACCGGGAGGATCTGTTCCGAGCCCTCAAGGCCTATCACAAGTCAGATCAGGACGGTCAGAGCCGCGACCCCGACCTTCACTTCAACAAGGCCACTGTCTACCGCTACCTGGAGGACTACCACAACGCCGTCCTCGAGCTCCTCCGCGCCCACGCCCTCGACCCCGAGCTCAACGCGTCTGAGCAGATCGTCAAGGTGGCGAGGCTGGTGAACGAGATGCACGCCATGATCGCGCGGCAGTGCAACCTCAAGGCTGAGAAGATCCAGTCCATGCTCCTCTTCCTCCCGCCCCCTGCCGAGCCTCTCCCCGTCGGCAGCACTGAGTACGTGGACTGCGTGCTGGCGGACATGGCCGAGGGATGGAACCTCGGGAGGGTCCTCCACGTCATGATCTTCGCGATCCCCAACACCGAGCGGCCCATCCACCTGGTCGTCTCCGACAGGAGCGGCTCCTTCTTCGCCGTTAGCGTCTACAACATGCCTGAGGGGAAGCTCAAGCCCGGTGACGTCATCTCGGCCCTCTCCCCGTACATGAGGACCTGCTCGCTCCCAGCTGACGCCCTGCTCCCCCTCCCCCGCCATCCCCAGCTGCAGTCCGAGCTCGTCGACTGCTGCTTCAAGTGCGTGCAGGTCTCCCCAGGTCAACTCCTGCACAACGGCTTTCCCTGCGACATCTCCTATTACGAGCGACCTCGCGCCGTCTTCACGGTCAGCCCGGTGGCCGTTCGAGCCTCTGCTGGGGATGAGCTAGGGAAGAACACTCCGCCAGCTCGAACTTGAAGCGACCGAGCTGGGACACGGAGCTGGAGAGTGAGGTAATGGGAGGGGACGGAGTAAGAAGGGGGGTGGGCAGACCGGAAGGGGTAGGAGGCAACTTGTTCAGTAATGTGGTACAAGTACATCTTGTGGGATCGATCGCGTGCGCGTTAGAGAAGATCCTCCCCCCTCCTCTCTCATCCTCCAGCTCGTCGCTAGCTCAGTTACTTCTTGCTGGCCTGCAGCTGGGGTCAGACCCTCCTCTCCATCCTCTTCCCGTACCGGCTGCGAGCGGCTGGCGGCGGCTGCTGCCTTGGGATGAGCCTTGCGGGCGAGGATGCGAGCAGCCTTGGCAGAGATACTCAAGCGTCCCTGCACGCACTGCTTGAAGGCGTTGCTGGCGCATCCCGACTTGCTGCAGGTTCTCGCCGAGCACTGAGACATCAAGTAAGCTCAGCAGCAAGAGAAGGAGGAGGAGGAGGAGGAGGAGGAGGAGGAGGAGGAGACTGGAAAAGAGAGGCAGGAAGATAGATCGGTAGACCGAAGGTGGGAAGGGGCAACCTCTTGCGAAGCGAGGAGGAGGACGGCGGACTTCTCCTTCTTCTGCTTGAGGAGCTTCAGGACGGAGCGTCGCAGCCCCAGGACCTTGCGAGCCTTGAGGGCCTGTGGCTGTCCGGCGCTTCGCCTCATGCACATGGCGAAGGACTTGTTGTCACACCCGGACTTCCTCCCGCAGCTCGTGACCCCGCAAGCCACCACGGCGCTCTTACGCGTCACCATCCTCCTGAGCATCTGCCACGGGCTGGAGACCCGGCGGCCCATCGCCTGCCTGAGAAGCTGAACCTTCCTCTTGGCCTTGAGAGATCCGAGGATGCCGGTGTCGAGGTTCGGCTGCAGGGCCAAAGTGAGCGGAGGGGGGAGGGAGGGGAGGGGAGGGGAGGGGAGGGGAGGGGAGGGGAGGGGAGGGGAGGGGAGGGGAGGGGAGGGGAGGGGAGGGGAGGGGAGGGGAGGGGAGGGGAGGGGAGGGAGGGAGGGAGGCGACG